TCAGTTCTCTGCCAAGGGCAAAGGAAAAACTTCTCAGTGAGGTGATTTACCACCCGGCAAGTGTGGTGGCGTCTGAGGCCACACAGTGTAGGGACACAGAGCTCCCCACTCGAGCAGAAGGTGAGACAGGCACCTTCAACACACAGCCTGGACAAGTGGTGGTCTTCATTCTCTTGAGCCAGACCAGCAGGTGACTAACTGTGCAAGGTGGGAGATGTATCATTCCCATTGGCTCATTCAATATCTGGGTGGGACAGTTGGAAAGTTCCTGGGTCAAGGCCAAGGCTATTTAAATATGGGGTACAGAACTGGAGAGAGAATTCTCTATAGAGGAAGTCAGAAAGGCTGAAAGACACTTAAGAAAGTGCTCAACATCCTTAGCTATCACAGAAATGCAAATCAAAACAACTTTGAGATACCATCTTACTCCTGACAGAATGGCTAAAATTAGAAACACCAATGATGACTCATGTTGGAGAGGATGTGGAGAAAGGGGAACGCTCCTCCACTGCTGGAGGGAGTGAAAACTCGTACAGCCATTTCGGAGATCAGTGTGGCAGTTCCTCAGGAAAATGGGAATCAGTTTACCACAGGACCCAGCAATCCCCCTCATGGGCATATACCCAAAGGATTCACATCAATGCAACAAAGACATCTGTTCAACTATGTTCATATCAGCATTATTTGTAATAGCAAGAACCTGGAAGCAACCTAGATGCCCCTCAACTGAAGAATGGATAAAGAAGATGTAGTATTCCATTTACACAATAGAATACTGCTCTGCAGAAAAAAAAAATCAATGGAATCTTGAAATTTGCAGGCAAGTGGATGGCACTTGAAGAAACCATCCTGAATGAGGTAACCCAGTAACCAAAAAAAGGAACATGGTATGTACTCGCTCATATATGGATTTTAGAACTAGAGCAAAGAATCACCAGCCTATAATTCATATCACCGCCAGAGGAAGTAGGATACAAGGAGGATTCTAAGAGATTCATTAAGGTCCCTCAAAGAAGGGGGAATGGACATGCTCTCCAGAGAACATGGGGGGGCAGTGAGTGGAGAGGGAACTAGGAGAAAGAGAAGCAGAGGAGAGGAAAGCACGTGAGACTAGAAGAGAGAAGAGAGAGGGAGACAGAGTGGCACAGAGAGAGAGACTACAAAAGAGGGAGACATTATAGGTTTGACGAGAAAACTGAACTTAAAGAAATGTCCAGAGTCCTATAAGACTGACCCCACTTATCCACGACTAACTTATCCACCATCATGGAGCCCTCATCTAGTAGCTGATAAAATAGAAGCAGACACCCACAACTAAACACTGAGCCGAACTAGAATCCAGATGCAGAGAGGAAGGACAAGACCAAGCTGCAGAATCACATAGAGAGAGCTAACCTGAACAAGGAGGGGCTAATGGGCCCCCAGACTGATAGCTGGGAATCCAGCATGGGACGGACTCAGACCCCCTGACATGGGTCTCAGCTAGAAAACCTGAGCAGTCTAAGGGACCTCATACAATGGATCCAGGATGTATTCCTGGTGCACAAAAGGACTTTGTGGGCACATCCCCCATGGAAAGGATACTCCTTTAACCTAGAGATAGGAGAGATGCCCTAGTCCTTACTCCAAATGACTTGACAGATTTAGATGACCCTTCTGGAGGGTATCACCCTACATGAGGAGTGGGTGGGATGGGAGAGGAGGGTGGTCGGGGTGGAAGAGAGGGAAAGATGGAGAAAGAGGGAACTGGGAATGGTATGTAAAATAAAAATAAAAAATACATATTAAAAAAAGAGAACTACAGACCTATATCCCTCTTGATCACTGATGCAAAAATACTCAGTAAGATACTGCCAAATCGAATCTAAGAACATGTCAGAGAAATCATCCACAATGACCAAGTAGGCTTCATCCCAGCAATACAGGGATGGGTCAACATACAAAAATCCATAAATGTGATCCACCATATAAACAAACAGGAAAAAAAACACATGATCACCTCACTAGATGCTCAAAAAGCCTTAGACAAAATCGAACAACCCATCATGATAAAGGTCCTGAGGAGAACATACCTAGACATAATTAAAAGCAATACACAATGAACCAACATCCGACATCAATCTATTTGGAGAGAAACTCAAAGTGGATCCTCTAAAACAAAAACAAAATAAGGTTGTTCATGCTCTCCATATCTCTTCAATATTGTACTTGAAGTTCTAGCTAAAGAAATAAGACAACAAAGGAGACCAAGAAGACACAAATTGGAAAGGAAGAAGTCAAACTTTCACTATTTGCAGATGATATGATAGTTTACATAAGTGACCAAAAAAACTCTATCAGGGAACTCCTACAGCTGATAAACAACTTCAGAAAAGTAGCAGAATACACAATAAACTCAAAAAAATCAGTAGCCCTACTTTATTCAGATGACAAAGGGGCTGAGAAAGAAACCAGAGAAACATCACTCTTCACAATAGCCACAAACAATATAAAATACCTTGAGGTGACACTAACCAAACAAGGGAACAACCTATATAGCAAGAACTTTGAGTCTTCCAAGAAAGACATTAAAGAAAATAACAGAAAAGGGAAAGATATCCCATGGTTACGAATAGGCAGGAAAACATAGTAAAAATGGCTATCTTGCCACAAGAAATATGCAGATTCAATGCAATACCCATCAACATCCCAGCACAATCCTTCATACACCTTGAAAGGACAATATTCAACTGTATATAGAAAAACAAATGACCCAGGATAGCCAAAACAATCTTGTTCAATAAATGGACTTCTGGAGGCATCACGATCCCTGACTTCAAGCTCTACTATAGAGCTATAGTCCTGAAAACACCTTGATATTGGCACAAAAATAGACAGATGAATGGACTCAAATTAAAAACCATGACATTAGCTCACACACCTACGGACATCTAATTTTTGACAAAACAGCTAAAATTATACAATTGATGTAGAAAAGCATTTTCAACAAATGGCGGTGGCCCAACTGGATGATGGTATATAGAATCTGCAAATAGACACGTGTCTAACTCCATGAATAAAACTTAAGTCCAAATGAATCGAAGACCTCAACACAAATCCAGCCACACTGAACCTCTGAGTAAAGAAGGTGGGAGGTAACCTTGAATGAGAAAACTTCCTGAACATAACATCATTAGCACTGACAGTGAGATCAACAATTAATAAAAGGGATCTCTGGAAACTGAGAAGCTTTTATAAGGCAAAGGACACAATCCACAAGACATAGAGGCAGACCATTGAATGGGAAAAGATCTTCACAAACCCCACATCTGACAGGGGGTGACTTCCAAAATATACAAAGAACTCAAGAATCTCATCCCCAAAACACATGGAAACATATGGAATGAAACAACTTCCTGGAGAATAACAGACTCTGAATGACGGGCTGATGGATATCTGGAAGGACTTGGTGTCAGCACGATCTTGCAAGAGTGAAGAGTATAGAGAAAAGTACTTCCTGGAAATACACATGTTGAATCCCTTGATCTGCCCTTGAGTGCACCAATCCACTCCTGACTACAAGATCAATTCAGAACTTAGATTCTCCCAAAGGAAACATGGAAAACTTTTCCTAACTTCTGTCCAACTACTCACTAACATCTAAAAACTTCCTAGACATCAACATTAATCACAAGAAGCTAAAAATGAAGATTTGCTCTGGGGACAAATTAGTTTTTCCTCATTGGAGGCATCCCAAATTTCCATGCAGACAATCTGACTGAAACCACATATGACATCATAATGAGCTCTCTGAGGGATGTCATGTCCAGAAATACTGTTGTTTTATGAGCACTGCAAACCTGGACTCTTCTGGGTCACCTCCACAGCATTGCATGGAGAATGAGCAACAGTTGAGTTCCTTGCATTCTTCCTCAGGCCAAGAGCTACACAGAGAAGGTCTTCAATAGGTGAGGCACTCAAGAGATTCTTCAACAGGAACTGTGTTCATAAGCTTCATCCTGTGAGCATCCTCATCCTGTGAAATTCAAAGGTGTGATTCTGTTTACCACAGACTTCCTAAAATTCCATTTGATCTTTTAGACTTTATAGTCTCTTGTGAAGCTAACACATATCATTGTTTCTTCTGGAATTCTGCAGTTGAATTCAAGTGGGTCAATGTTTTGTTTTCATATCAAATAAAGTGTCTTGCACTCATTGGAATGCAGGTGAAAACAGCATTAGGTGTGACATCGGTATGTGGGATGATGGATTTTAGCTGATGTGTGGTGGGTGTCTATGGCAAATGTATACCCAATAAGATGCAGAACCAGCATTGGCTTGCAAAGGTTGTAATTGTGATTGTGTAATGACTTTAAATGTGTCTGAAGAAAGCTGGAGATGGTGCAGGTAAGACCTGGGACTTCACTGCTTAGAACAACAATAAAGATAGATAAAATTATGAATAAAGGGGACTCAATAGCAAATGGGGATTGTTTTCATATACAGGATACACATATGTAAACCTAGGTTCATCAGTATGACCAGTTGTTTGTCAGAAATAATTGGTATTGTATTATGTAGAAGACTAGCATCAAATGTTCTCAACAGCCAACAAGTTCTTTTCCTATGATAAAATTCAGATACACAACTTCATTGGTAGCATGTAATCATTCTTAACAAATTACTAAAATATAAATAAATTACATTGTTGATGGAGTTGTGTTTTCATGTCGGTCACTTTCCTGTATTCATATTAAAAGTCTACAGTGTGTTAAAATGTGTGCTCTTTTGATTCTGACAAGTAAACTTGGAACTGCAGCATCCATACAACATTGATCTTGAGGCAGGAGAAATTCCATACGGATCATATTTTATCCTGACTTAATGACCATGCCTTGTTTTCCAGGCACAGCTCCCATAGTATGATATGCCAGTACCTAATTATCTCGAGAATAAGCCACTCCAAATCACTTGTTAAGCTTGGAGCAGAGAACAAAGACTTGAGGACAGCACTGTCCCACATGACTGTCACTGCAGTGTCCAGTGAAGCCCTCTCCATGTCTTCTCACGATGAAGCCCTGAAAACCACTGAGGAAGTGGCTCTTCAGATCCACATACATTGTCAGGTTTGGGTAGGGACTGTAGCCAACATCATTCTGTTTGTCCACAATTTCTCTCCTGTCCTGACTGGCATTCAGATGAAACCCACACAGACGATTCTCAGCCACATGGCTGTGGCCAATGCTTTCATCCTCCTCATCACTGTGTCTCCAAACAATATGATGGATTTTGCTTCAAGGACTCTTCTGACTGACCTCAGATGTAAACTTGAGTACTTCCTTCGCCTCATGGCTCGAAGCCTTAATATGTGCTCCACCTCTGTCCTGAGCTCCTATCAGTTTGTCACTCTTGTTCCTGGTAATAGGGGTAGAGTCATGCTCAGAGGAAGGGTCCCAAATTTGGTGAGTTATTCTTGTTACAGTTGTTGGTTGTTCAGTGTTGTAAATAATGTCTACATTCCAATGAAGGTCACTGGTCCACAGAAAACAGGTAATGACACGGTGTCTAGGAACAAGTTTGTCTGTTCCAACTCTAGTTTCAGTATAGGTGTTATCTTCTTGCGTTTTGCCCATGATGCCACATTCATCAGCATCATGGCCTGGACTAGTGTCTCCATGGTTTGTCTCCTCCATAGGCATTACAGACAAATGCATCACGTCCTCACTCCAATTCAGGACCACAGAGTCCATGCCGAGACCAGAGCAGCCCATACCATCCTCATGCTGGTGGTCACATTTGTTAGCTTCTACATCCTAAATTTTATTTGTATCATCTTTCACAGTTTGTTAATGGACTCTCGTCTCTGGCTGAGACATGTAAGTGAAGTTTTGGCTGTAAGCTTCCCCACTATCTCTCCCTTTCTGTTGATGTTGAGAGATCCTAAGGATCCTTGTTCTGTGCTCTTCCACCATTGAAATCCAGAGTCTTTAGACATAGTAAACCCATGCCTGTGCTGTGCAAGTGGTCTGACTGCCTCTCTTACGAGCTGCAGCATTCATGAAAAGTGAGCCCTGTTCCTAGGCTGTGAAGCACAGTAGAGCTTGACCCTATTGCTGGTGGTGTTGATGAGCCAGTCCTGAGAATGTGTGCTGGGGATATCTGGTCCTGCCCCTCATCTGCTTTATGACAGGGGAGACATGTCTTTCCCCAACCCCACTCTCCCTGTGACAGGTGGGAATGCTGGCCTGGAGGTCCAGGAGTAGGCGAGTTTTCACTGCCTCTCACAAGCTGCAGCACTTGTGAGAGTGGACCCTGAGCCTCTCCTGAGCAACACAGTAGAGCTGTCCCTAATCATGTAGGTGTGAGAGAGCTTATCCTAAGGGAATGAAAGCAGAAGAAGTAGTCCCACTCCTGACTCACTATTGCAAGGCATACACATCCTGGGCACTACTACAGGATCACCCTGGTCATGAGAATTGGGGACAGTTTACAGGCTAATGAACCCTGTAGCTACCCAGGCCCTGAACCAGAATTATGAGTTGGTCTACCCCAACGTCCACACTATCTATGACCTGCTGGAGCACATGAAGATGTTGTCCCTGCAGACCCAAGGCCGCAGGATTTCCATGACCCAGGACAATAACAAGATATTCAAGAGGAGTTACAGTGAGACCCGGTGTTGAATGTGCAGCAAACTCCAGAGGCCTGGAATCAGACTAAGGACTCTTTGCAAAGAACACTGGCAAGTAAAGAGATATGCACGAAAACCATAGACTGTGACTCCCTGTGTCAAACTACGGGTTCCATGGTGAGATTTTTCATTCTCTTTTGTCTTGAATATCATATTATTTAAGGGGCGAGGTTGCAAGGTGAAGGTAAATATGAAGGGACATAGAGATGAGTGGTATTGAGATGCAAGATGTGAAAGACAAAAAGAATAAATAAAAATAATATTTAAAAACCCTCGAAGACAGCTTTACTAATGCCATTAAATACTCTGTCACAAATATGAGTTGAACAACTTTTTCTATGAGTCCCACACAGTGCTCACTGCTTTTAATTTTGAAAAGTAAGGTTAATGAGAAATGATTTCTGGTCAGGATGTGATTGACTAAGTAGCTGAGTTATGTATGACCCTCCATTCTATTGTGTATAAGTGTGCTCTGTTACAGGCTGGTCTAAAACAGACTAAACATCAGCTTAATGTGTTATTAGGTCTGTTCCCTCTAACTGAATGCGTTATGCTTTGGATAAGTACAGGATCCCTCTTTATTTACCCCCTGAACAAAATAGGATCTACTGTAATCACTAAATGTTTTCTTTTGCCTTTTCACTTTTATTCATTCATTTTGGATTTTACATCATGCATTCCCATCCACACATCTCCCCATCTCTGGAATCCACCATCTTCCCTTGCAAACTACCATAAAGACAAAATGAAATAAAAAAACAAAAAACCAAAAAAAAAAAACAAAGAGACAGAACAAACACAAACCCCAAAATATCAGGATCTTCTAGTGGAAGCTATACTGTAGCCTGTTGAATCAAACAATTTACCCTTCAGTCTGTTCACCTTTATTTTATTTGCAAGTTGTTACTGCCATGATTCTTTGCTGGCTTGACATCTCTGGCTTGTGCTACACCACTGGTAATGGTCTCTCACTGTGGCTCCTATTGGCTATCCTGTTGTTTTCCTTTGTCATGGAGTTCCTGTATTCTATATTATCACTTTCCACCACCTAGTAACTGTGAGTCCCATTACCATCACTGCATATAAAGATGACCCAGTATGTAAATCTTTCCCAGATGCTCCTGTATTCCAGTTGTAACCCCACCAGCAAGCCTGGTGGTCTCTGGATGTCCTGCCTGCATGGCCTGGAACCAAAAATCTGCAGAGAGTGTCGGGATTAAAAACACCGGAATCGATGTGGATGTGGTTTGATCACGCCAGACCACCTGAAACAGAGTACAAGCTGATCCTACATTCAAAACAGCTGGACAAAACAGCCCTACAGACTACAGCCAGGATATCTGAATCTTCTTCGAATCCCCCAAGACAGCAGGAAGTAGTTTGGAAAGAACGACGCCCAAATTCCCAAATATTGTGTATAAATGTTTGTTTTCATTTAATTGGACTTTGTTATATAAAATTAAATAAAAAATCATCTTTGGCTTCAAGGAAAGGTTAGGGCATTCTCAGGAGCCCGTCCCAGGGTTCTGGAAACCAAAGGAAGATTTTGCCTTGAAAACATGTCTTTCTCTGCAGTTATAGCTGCCTGCCTCAGGGGCAGCAGGGTGAAGTGAATTCTTAGCCAAGGTCTTAATTTTCCCACATTTTCCCCTTTTTAATTTTCTATGAGGAACCTCTGTCTTAGGTTGTGTAGGATGTGCCATCACTGACCCATCCTCGGGGGGACCTGGCAACCCCTGTCTTAGGTGGGAGGTTTCCCTACAAGTTGCCCGTCATAGGTGATCCTCATTTCTGCAGCATCTGTAACCAGACTTCATGACTGTCGGGAGAGCCTTGGGCCAGACTGAGCAACACTTGTCTATGTAACTGTTCCTTTTGTGCAAAGATTTGTCAGATCTTGCATAACGCAGGAATCCCTACCCCAGCCGATACCAGTCCCAAGACCCTTGGAGACAATGCACCGCCCCAACGCTGTATCCAACCTCCAACCTGGGCCATGGCATTCCACCAGCCCTCTGCTGAAATAGTAACTCGAGTCTTATTGACCTCTACTACATGGTGAGCCAAAACATTGGTAAAGTTTACAAAAGAATGCCAAGGTCCTGCCAAGTGTGCACTGAGGCAGTTGACCCCTACAGAGACATTTGCACTTCATATAAGGTGAGACAAGAGGAATGACAAAGTGTGAGCAGGAGGCCTGCTGCCCCGACCACAATACACCAACTTGTTCCTGAAGCAAGGCAGTTTGCTGGTTTAAGTTAAGGAGTCCAAACTGAATATACACATTCAGGGCACTTTGCGTAGCCAGAGCTTCACTGACTCTGCCCGCCAGCTGATTGACAGTCTCTGCATTGACGACGGACTGAGCAACAGCAATCCCTGCAACAGCGGCAGCAGTCACCGACATGGCAATGGCAGTAATGATGGCAGCAGTGATATCAAAGTCCCTTCTTGGGTGGTAGAGGATAATCTCTTCTCCCCCATGTCAGTCTTCCACCACCATGGGGGCAAGTGCAGGAACTCAACTACCAGGGCACCAGTATTGGTTGGGGACCAGCAGTTGCTCAGGGAGCAGGTTCTGGAAGAACAATTGAGAGATTCTCCCTCCCCCAAGGACCCATTATCTGTGGAATATTTAAGGGGAGGGGAATGTCTGGACGACCACAAAGACCCTTTCCCTTCAATCACCATGGCTCTTGTGGTGCACAGTGTCCCCAAGGCAGAGACCTATGCAAGCCACAGTTTCTGGGGACCTTCCTGCATAGGGGCCTCTGTACAGGGGGCCATGCAGTAGAATTCCCCTGTTCACGCTGGAAGTTTATAGGGTATAGGACATCTCTAAGAGCCAAGCAATTGCTCATACTAGCATTGGGGTGAAAATCAGCAATGGAAGCATTACTGAAAACTATTCATGACACCGAGAATGACCCATTGGGCAGTTGAGAAATATTAAGCACTCTCTGGAAGCAAAGGCTCCCCTGTGTCAGGAAGGTCAAATTACTCAGTGATGAAATTTCCAGCAGAATGTTGGCAGGTGGTAATGCCAGGGAACTATTGGTGGAAAAGAAAGAGGGAAACAGGGAGCTCTCCTGACTAATTAGCATCAGGATGGTGACGGTTCCTCACCAAGGCCCAAACCATCCGTCCCTCCATGGGCCAGGGGTTCCAGTAAAGCAGGATTAGATTCCTGATGAGCACCAATGTGTCATTCTGATGTCCAGACAGGTTTCTCTGTGGGGGAAAAACACAAACATCCCCTTGAACCCTAGTTAATAGGGGGTGGGTGGTTGCAATTGACCTGTAATTATGTTTTTCCACCTGACCCATCCCAATGTTTGAGAGGGTTTGTTCCAATGTCTCTCCATGGCAGATAAGTTATTTTTATTTATAGTCAAAAATTTTAAAATATAAAGTATGGTAGATAATTAAGAATTGGGAAGGTCCTATATTCCCCCTTTTTTATTTTATTAAAATATTGTTTAAGGGTGGCATGAATGTGCTCCACAATGGCTTGTCCAGTAGGATTGTGTGGGATGCCAAATGAATGATAAATATGATGTTCCGTGCAGAAGGCTGTGAAGCAATGGCTAGCATATGCGGGGCCATTATCTTTTTTAAGATATCAGGAACTCCCATATAGGCAAAGGCCTGTAAACAATGAGAGATGACATCTTTAATCTTTTCTCCAGAGTGTAGGGACACAAAAACCACCCTAGAATATGTATCCAAAGAAACATGCATAAAATTTAATTTTCCTGTTTGAAGCAGGTGGGTGACATCCATTTTTCAAAGATTATTAGCCCTTAGACCCCAGGGATTCACCCCTTCATTGGAGGAATTATGATAAGGGGCACAATCAGGACATCAAGAAGTAATCTGAGGGTCAACAAGCAAGTTGTTATGAAACTTAAGGGAGCGTGCATTTAGTTCATACCGCTCATGAAGCTGGCAAGCATGTTGTTCCTCTATGAACATGACTATTGAGGGCTGAGTTAAGGAATCAGCAATTTGATTGCCCTGGGTAATGGGTCCTGGGAGGCCTGTATGGGCATATATGTACCCCATAAATGCAGGGTGTATCTGCTGCCAGATAAGATGTTGAAGCTTAACTAGAAGAGAATGAACTTGAGATCCTGTCCCCATAAGTTAGTGGGGAGGACGGCCAGGATATAGGGCTGGAAGTAACCTGAATGGCCCTCAGTGTCTCTGCATTTTAAACTTTTTAGGCTCTTTTAAGGGATTGCTTGCCCAGTCCCCTGAAGTGTGGCAGTTCCGCTCTGCTTAGGCAAGGTCAAGAACC